GCCCCGCCGGCCGCGCCGCGCTCCGCCGAGGATGTCCGCGCAGTCCCAGGGCAGCGCGTCCTCCTCCTCGTCGCCGTCTGAGGGGCCGCCTGCCGCCTCCAAGGCCAAGGTGAAGGAGCAGATTAAGATCATCGTGGAGGACTTGGAGTTGGTGCTGGGGGACCTCAAAGACGTGGCCAAGGAACTTAAGGAGGTGAGAAGCGCCCAGGGGCGCCCGCCCCGCTCCGCGGCCGCGGGACCCGCCGCGCCCGCGGCTTGCCCGCTTATTCCAACACTTCTTGGTGACGGGCCGAGCAACTGGTGTGCGGGCCGGGCGCGGGCGGCCCCTCGTGCCCGGCCGAAGCCTCTGGGGCCGCGGAGCCGCCGGGCGGGCGAGCGCCGGGCTTGGCAGCTCCGCGGCGCGCCGTGCTCCCCGCTGGTACCGTTACCGTCTTGGCCCGGGCTCCGTGGGGCTTGTCCCGCGCGGGAGAGCGCTCGGGGCGCGGACGGCTCCCGCAGCGCTGCCCGGTGCTGCCTGCCGGAGGTGCCGCCTCCGGGGGCCCCTGCGGCCGCGAACCCCTCGGCCCGTGGCGAGTGCCGGGTCCCCGCGGCGAGTCCCCGGCGCAGCGACATCGCCGCGGGGACGGCGGAGAGCGGCGAGGCGCTGCCCTCCTCCTGGAAATCGCTCCGGAGATCGCCCCGTTATCTCCTTTGGTTTTTATTTTATTTTTTTTCCACACAACTGGTCGCCAGATGGTTGGATTATGTGCCGAAATTCGAGCCCAAAATCTCGGTGTGGTTGTTCTGTTAATCCTATGTTTGACATTTATAGCAGGCTGAGTATTTTTTTTTTCACTATCAAATACTAGTTTCGTATTTTAACAGCACTGTCAACAAGTTTTATTGAGCAGACTTTTGCCTTACGAGGCAGTCTGAAATTCACCCAATGCTTCGTATAACAGAAGATATATATATGTGTGTGCTGCTTACTGCTTACGTCTGTTACAGTACTTCTCACCTACACTTCCACACTTCTTACTTTTTCTTGAAAATATATCTATAATATCTCTTTTCCTTAATGTGCTGCTGTGTGGGCTTTACAGTTTTTCATGCGGAGATGAACACTGTTTGTAGGGCAATTCCTCAAACACCGTTAATAGTGACAGAGCAAACTGGCTTTTATTGCTGCAGAAGCACATTTTTCAGGACCTGGAGAGGATGTGCTGTGATCCTTCCTGTGAATGTAAACTGCACCGTGCACGTAGTCAGTCCTAGCTTTCCCCCGCTAAGCAAAGAAGATCTGTGTAGGTGGAGGTCGTGTGTCATTACTTTCTGTGACATGTTTTATCCATATAGACTTGTCTCTTCTAATTGACAGCATCAGCAAGAACAGAACTGGGTTTACCTCTCCTATGTGGGAAAATGGGTTTTGCGTGAGTCCTTTGTCCAAGCAGAGATGAAACACAAAATGGAAGTTGTAGTGATACAGTGGTGAAACTCAATTAGCAACTGTGTGCCTTGTGAAGGATGAGAAGATTCCCAGATTTTGAAAAAGAGGAATGTTTTTATAACAATAAGCAATGCATATGCAGTGACATATGCTTGTTATAATATCTTTATGTGTTAAATACTTCTTGTGGCCTGTTTATTTTGAAAAGTCAGTAGAAGTTTGCTGGACAGCCTTCAGTTGTCCATCATTTATTCTATAGACTCACTTTATGAGAGACCTCTTTGCTGCATCTGGAATACATAGCATTTTACAAGATAGTGAGGTGATCGATATTGTCAGTTAATAATCGGGCTGTTTCACAGGTTTTTAATAGTTGTTGAAATGTGTTGCCTTCTTTCATTAAAATATCTAGGAAGTCTTCTAGAACTAGTTTTGGTGTATTGCACACATAAAAGATGGCGAACTAGAGGGCCAAAAATCATATCCTTCACTCCATTTCCATATCATTCTTCTGGAAATGTGTAGCTCTTTCCTCATTAGTTGTTTGCCAGTTAGATTGTTGTAGTTTCTCTTCTGCTCGTCATATTCCTATTCCGAAAACACGATTTCATTCATTTTTAATTCCTTGCTATTTTTCTAAGGAAGTTTTCCAGTTAATTATAGAGATAGGTCACTTTTTTTTTTTGTTATTGCTCTTTGTAACCAAACACATATTTAGTTGCAGTATTGAAAAATATGGCCTCTGTTGTGAAATTTCAGTATTTTTGTTTTTACATATCCTATTGTAATATAGATAATAATAATTTAGATTACACTTGATTTAGCCCTTTAGATATTGGGATAGACCTGATATCCTTTCAGTCTTCCTTTGTATGCTTTTATATTCTAAGTGTTGTCAAACTGAAAGAATCATTGCTTCAGAGTGAACAATTTATCACTGTAAAAAATATATCTGTTATTACTCATATGTCATGTAGCATCTAACTTGTTGCAGTTTACTTACATTAATGTTCTGCCGTTTGTTCCAAAGATTTTGTTCTTAATGCCTGCTTTAATTACTTTTCTCTTTAGAAAAGGAGTGGTGGGAATGGAGAGCATGAGAACCTTTAAAATCCAGATGCAAAAAACATGAAGTGTGTGTGTATGTATGTTCTTTTCTTGTTGTTTTGGTTTTGTTTTTGTAAAAAAAAAAAAAACAGATGACAGAGATTATGTGGCTTGAAGCAATTGCCTTTTAGTGATTACTGTGTCTTGGAAGTTGAACATCTCTCTTTCCCGTATCTGTTGATCTGCTTAGGCTGATGTTACAGGAGGCTGAGACTGGGGAAGGGCTCAGTGGGGGCAGGCCAGTGGCTACTCACCAAGGAGGAACTCCTCATCTTCTTGCTTAAACTGGAGATATGGAGTGGGTGTGCACCAGCAGTAGGATGTGTTTTTGTGCTAGAAGAAATTACTATTTAGAAAGAGTAGCTGTTATCTGATGAATATTCCAAAGAAAAAAATCAAAGGAGTGCAAGAGCGTTGAGTAACTCTGTGCATTGCTTTAGTCCAGAACATTTTAAAATTAGTTCAGTGAATCTTTAAAGTTAGATTTTCCTCCGGAGTACTGGATAAAAGACCTTTTTCTCTGGAATCTGTCTAGAAAGATGACTATTACTGCCTTGCCTTGCAGATGCAATTTATCTGTCACATACTTAAATAATGAGGTGATGAGCGCTACAGGAAACCAGGAGACACATGTTAGTTGAGCTTTTGGAGGTAAAATGCATGATGTAGTCTGAATTCTCTGCCTGGCTTTAGGAGAGGTTGTAGGTAGTGTGTATGTGTGTGCATGAAGATGGCAAGGAGTAGAGAGCTGTCTTGTCTTGATACTGACATTATCACTTTGAAGACTTTCCTGCTTTAAAGTTTTATGATCGTGTCACACATTCCTGGAGCCCTACGCTGGTTTACATTAAGGAAATACTTCACTAAATCATTTGGTAAATACTTTTTATAGTAATAAAAATTCATCATGCAGAACAAATTCCTGGAAGTTGTGTGTGAAACATTTGCATAGCTCTTAATTGGCTAAATATGCTCCAACCTTTTATCAAGAGGAAGCAGCTGTGTAGCTATTGCCAATGTTTAGAATAATCCAAAATGGAGGTACATGAGAAACTGAAGCCTTAATAGGCATTGCACATGCATCAGTAAATTTCCAAGTTTTCGTAGTCCACCTCCTGTGCTCTAAATCCTCCCCAAATGTCTTGCTGAAAGAATGGGTGAATAATCCTCCCTCATCTAACTGCTGTGTTTATTTTCTGTAAAGATGTGATATGTAAAACTTAGTCATAACTTAACAGATAATGTTTTCTGCAAAATGGTGCAACTTGTATGTAAATGTAGTGTAAAGTTACATGGCTAAGATTGTTGCAAGGTTGAAGACCTGTTTCCATAACCAGGTCAATCGCCTTTTTTGAGACAGTGTTGTGTAGTCCATGTGCTTTGTTTCTGGATAAGGTTTCCCTGAGCATATTGCAATTTCAGCTCTAGTGTTTTTCAGCCCTTTTTAGTTTTTATGTTCAGTGGAAAGCCCATTTGGCATGTGCCACATGCTTCAGACTGTTGCCCATTCATTGAGAAACTGGGCAGCTACCAGCTGTGTCCAGGACCAGGGACAGAGAAACAGCACTCAAACATGGATCGATAGCTGTGATGAGTGTAGAGTACAGCAGTGTAACCCTGTTTTCAGGGTGGTATCACAGTGCGTATGTAAGGGAAGTAGGTGCACAAGTAAGGGAAGTAGGAATGTAGAATCTAGGTACAGAGTATGCTACATGCAGACCTGGGGGTAGGCAGAACGCAAGCAAGACGTTTTAATCTGTTCTCCTGCTGGTTATTGCCTCTTGTCTTCCTCTCTGATTTCCTATCAGCTATTGAGGACCTTTTGGATGTGTATTGGCAGCTAAGGAAGAGGAATGCAGGCATGCATGCTCCTAGCTTTAGAGAAGGAGTAAATGCAGATGCCCTCATCATGCAGATATGTGAGACGGAGGCACTCCTCAGAGTGATGCTTGTGCGGTGGCCTTGCTTCAGGGACACGCTATGTGCTCAGTAAGGGAGATATACAGCACGTACATCAGTGAGGGAGATGCCTTACATGACAGCTGAGACTGGGCTCCGTCTGAGTTACCAGGACCCAGGGACCCATCCCTGGTGGCATTGCATGTTCCAAAACTTGCTCATCTCTTCAGCAGAAGATTTCTTTTTTTTTTTTTCTTTCTTACTTTTCTTTTTTTTTTTTTTTTTTGATACCTTATTGAGTCCTTGGTGCCAGATGCAACCATGAACCCTACTTGTATGTTTATTGCAAGTGCAGAGAATGATTCATTATGTAAGAGAAACACTGCACAGCAACTTTATGGTGATCTGCCCAGAGGTCCAAACAGGACCGTAAATACTTGTTGCAGTTAACTAGATCATAATTTTCCTTTCCTTTTATTGCTTGTGGTCTATGAAGTATTTATACAGTTATATACAGTACAAAAGTGCAGAAGTAGTAAGATAAAAATCTCATGTCAGTAGCAGCCATAAAACTAATGAAGCTAATAGGTAGCAGTGAACCTTAAAAATATGCTTTAAGATTATCAGGAACATTTTAAGTGCTGGTATAGTAGCTGGTGCTGTTGACTTCCATCTGATTTGTTATCAAAGCTACTAACAATTGTAACTTTTCATTCTTGTACAATACAATGAAAAGAATAACTAACATATAGATATAG